TTTTTTAAATTCTTTTAAATCTTAAATTTTTGAAATATTTAAATCCAAAAAAATAAACATAAAAAAATCATAAAAAACGTCATTTAAAATCTCAAAAATTACAAGGATTTGAGCAATCATAACTGGAGGCAAGATAAGCGACCCTCGCGAATAAATTGACAACACCCAACTACACGATTGAGAAATGTTAAAATTTTTAATTTGAGTTTTCTGAAAAACTTTTAAAAATCCTCTATTGGGTTGCTTACTTCAAACTTGCTAAAATAAACAGTAAAATCAAACTGGAAACACGAAAAAAAACATAACCATTGCAGTAAAAGCTATAGCTTTCAAAAGCATGCAAAAGTATTACTATGGAAAATCTTAAACTTGGCGAGATAGTGAAACCCGCATTTGAATAAATATTAGTCAATTAATAAATTAAATGAAATCCAGCAGATGAATTTCAATTGAACTCAAAAAAGGCATATAAACCTAATCAAACAAAAAACTAATAAGAACTATAAGTCTTCACTGCATTCATTCCTCCTTATTAGTCAGAGAGCTGCAAGAATCTTGACAATTTCGGGAAAAAGTTTTGAAGATAATTTCTCGTTTCCTGGCAACGAATAAAATTTTTATACCTCATGATGAACACATGATAAAACCATTAAAATACAAAGCTGACGAATTCAGATAAAACTAGCGCATGAATCGCACATACGGTGCTTCAAATAGATCGTTGCATGTTAAGGAGCTTCCTATAACATGTACTAAAATACTTATTGCAGCGCTGAAGATGAACTGGGCTCATGTATCAGGCGTTTCTACAACACAAAAAAAACATCTCGGAAAAAGATTTGAGCAGTCAAATTTAGAGGGCAGATTTGCAACGCATTTTGCGGGCAATTTGTAGAGCAGTCAAATTTGGAGTGAAGAGTTGCATGCCATGAGTGGACCCTGACTGCACCCCAACATAGGGTTGAGAAATTCAAGTTGTGTCAATTTTTTTATATCTAGGTTTTAAAAAAAAAAATCAAAAAACGCCATATCTCGAAAACCATAAGGATTTGAGCAGGCATACTTGGACGCTAGATTTGCAAGCCCTGAGTTTACCCTGATAGCTCTTCACTATAAGGTGGAGAAGTTCAAATTCGGTTAAATTTTTTAACTAAATTTTAAGAAAAAAAAAACATTAAAAAAACGCCATATTTCGTAAACCAAAAGGATTTGAGCCCTTATACTTGAACGCTAGATTTGTAGCCCTTGAATGTACCCTGGTAGCACCCTATTATAGGGTTGAGAAATTCAAAATTAATTAAGTAAATTGTCAAGCAAAAACTTTGATAGTTTTACGTTGCGAATAAAGGGAAAAAATGTTAGAGTTAACGCATTTGTTTGGGCTCCGATAGATTTTGAAACGCTGACTTGTGTTAACTTTTGAACCTTTGCAATGTTTTGGCCTTTTAACAGACCAACATAGGGACTTATTAAACATGTGCCAAATGAAATTTCTTGAGCGTTTTACTGAACGATATAGCTGAAACAAGCAAAAACACTTTCGTTAAACATGAAAAAATAATACGTTGAAAAAGTTTAAATATGCAAACATAGAGTTCTCTTAAACATGTCAACATGGTGACTTCTTAAACATGTGTCACATGAAAAGCCAATTAAATAATAGAATATGTAAAACAATTATTACTCAAAAAGCTGACAGAACGGTTATTGAAAACAGAAAAACTAAACCATATAAAAAACAGTTGAAAATCGAAGAAAAATCGAAAAATTCAAATTTCAGATAGAAACTAGTTGTAATGAAAACTAGTCAGAGAGCTAGAAGAGTCATCACGGCTAAAAGAGAACAAAGACATAAACTAAAACACTGAATAATGACAGGAGGTTATCAGTCTAATGAATGTAAGTAAAATTAAGCTGAAAGTTGTGTTATTAACACCAAGCATCAAAAAAGAATTGAAACAATTGAAAAATCTAAAATCAAATTTAAAAAAAGCTTAAAATCACGGAGAAAGCTAGCTCCAACTAAGCCCAAAGAGAAAACCTATCATTCAAAGCTGAACGCCATGATGCTGTCGTTTAAAGATCAGATACTAACACAATGTAATCAAAATTAGTCAGAGAGCTTTGATAAATGTAACGGATTATAGGGAAAAAAAGAAGCTTTATCACTTCTTGGCATGGAATTAGACATTTCCAACACATGATGAACAAGTGATAAAATTAGTAAATTACAAAGCTGAAAATTCATTATTTTGAATAACAATGACTCAAAAGGCTGAAACAGTGTTTATTGAATTACAATTAAAACTAGTTGTAATCATAATTAGTCAGAGAGCTGGTCGAGTCCTCGCAGAAAAATGAGAGCCGAACCCGAAGAAAAATCACTTGAACTGAAATCAGTCTACGGTATCAGTCTAAGGGAGTCAGCTAAAATAAACAAAAGCTAGTCTAAAAACAAAAAACGAAAAGAAACATTCAAAACTGTCGTCATGAGTAGGCCATTCAAAGATACGATGCTTACTAATTTTATCATAATTAGCCAGCGAGTTGGGAGAATAACCAGGGAGATTAAACAAACTTTCTTGCTTCAAGGCATGAAATAAAACAATTACAACCCACGAAATTTAAGTGATAATACCATTAAACTACAAAAAAAACAATACAAAGGATATTGAGATGTCCCGGAAACATCATGATCAAACAAACGACCAAACCATTATGTACCAAGCATAACCATCAGAAGGTCGGAAAAGCGCCAAAGAAAAACAAAAAAGAAAAAAAACAATAGAAATTTGTAGAAAAACAACCGATTAAAGTTCGTTTAAATTCCAGAACACTTACTCAATGAACACTTACTCACTTACTTTATCGACACAGGCGAAGCAGAGCATCGCACTACTTATGATGCAACCCAAACAAAAATAAAGGTAGGGAAATGATGAAAGATGTTGAAAAACTAAAACATATAAAACTTTTGTATGTCTCGAAAAAACCAGGCAATCAAGCCAAGCAACATTTGAATGAAAAATTAGCAAAGTAACGCAGACTTAAGCGGAAACAAAGCCGAAAATCTTTGAGCAGAAAATTAGTAGAGCCGATCAAAACGAGTACAGCAAACTTATTAAGCGGAAACGAAGCCCACAATCTATGAGCAGAAAACCATTAAAGATTGGAAAGAGTAATGAACGCTAGTAAACAAAAAAAAACAGGTGGTTGAGAAAACCTCAATTTTCGGATTTCAAAGAAAGAAATAGATGCCCTTAAAGCTCTTTGAACTTCTATAACAACTTATGACTGGCACTTTTTTTGATAACATGAGCCCAATTAGAGAAAACTGGATCAAATAGGTAAAATTTTTACTCCGCTGGAAACCTAAAAACTAAATTTTTCGAAACTAGAAATCGTTCAAGTTTTTCGCGCCATTTCCACGTTCGCATTTGGAGAAAACTTTTTAACGTTACTTTCAGCAGATGAATTTCAATTGAACTCAAAGCTCAAAAAATGACTATATACTTAGGTGCATTCATAAATGTATCAAAATGTATGAATGCACCTCTGTAGTTATTTCAGACTTTTAAAACTTTTCCTAAAAAAAATCAGTAAGACCTATATTAGAGTCTTCAATACCTGCATTAAAGCAGATAAAAACAAACCGAATTCAAAAAGGGCATACATACCTAAATGCATTTGCAAGAGCAGGAAAATGTATGAACGATCTTCTGTAGTTTTTAGAGCAAGATTGTTTACTAACTTTCAACTGTTATCAAAATTAGTCGGAGCTGGGAAAATTATCCGGGAAAAATAACGAAAATTTGACAAAAAAGCTTTCTTGCTTCGATACTTGATATTAGACAATCAAAACCAATCAAGATGATAATACCATTGAAATAGTCCAGCACAAATATATCCAGATAAACCTCTCCCTAACAGTGAAAAATACCAGTCCCAGGGAGTTTCAAAAATGATTTAGTTTAGACGTAAAAGCAATTCATATACAAACAAACTAATGCTACCGATTGTTCAAGGTTGTACGCAAAAACAAACAATGAAGAAGAAGAATTTATTAGAAGAATTTATTTGAATGAATTCAAAATGTCTTCCAAAATCCAAAATAGTCGAAAAAGTCTAAAAATTTCTGCTAACTTATTAAAGCTAAAATTAGCTGCTCCCGCCGACACACACAGGTCAATGATCATTACATAAATTACCAGATACGATTCAAAAAGTAGCCAAAAGCAAAAATGATGAATCTTGACAAAATTATGAGCCAAAAAACTACTAAAACAAATAACATTATGTAAGTTTAACTAAAAAATAAGCGCATGGTTCGATATCAGTTAGAAATTTGTTTCGAGAGTCAGAAACCGCTTGTTTCTGTTATGTTAGAGCTTCAACGCAGAGGATAAACGGAGCTTAGCACGCACCACTTACGATGCAAAAAGATGTGCAAGAAATACAGCTCGAACATATTACTGTATAAACAGTAACGCACTTCATATTAATGGGAAAAACTCATAACTTAACACAAGTGCGTACGATCAAAAGTGCGTTTCATTTGACAAATTGAAATCAATCGAATAAAACAATTGTTTGCAACACAGACTCCGAGTGTAATGAGTATATAACACAAAGATACTGCAATTCAAAGATGCTGCAACGCCAAAAGAGCACTCACTGACAACAGGAAAATAAAAAACGCTAGAGTATAAGCCTCGAAATGAAATCAACTCAAAAGTACAAAAGCCTTTAGGACTACGGACTGGCCACCCAGACCTAGATTTATGTGGTTTCACCACTAGATCATGCTGTTTAATTAACGCGTCAACTTTTTCGTGCTAAAATGCGCGGCTTTCTTTAAAAAAAATGGACATATCCGAACAATACGCTCATTTCTTTTTCAAATCATCGATACACCCTCGAAACTAATTTTTCACACTTTAGATCTGACTGGTTTTTGTGAGAGAGCTGCAATTGTGGTATGACAGCAAAAGTTAACTTACCGAACTCGACTCTCAGTTATGAGCTCGCCATTCTCCTCGTTTGTGATCAAAATACTTGAGGGAGAAACATGGACAACAGCAGCGGTATAATCCTCCTCACCGATATCACGCAAATCAGCGATTGCTTCATTTATTGAACCGATTCCGCTAGGCTTATCGGCCGGCATTGATCCGATGTAATATACATTGAATCGCTCGCATTCCTCTAAATTATGTTGCATCTTTTGCGACAGTTTGTCCAGTGGTGTAGCTTGACTAGTTATTGCTGGCTCTGTGATGCTACTCGCCGGCGCGCGTTCGTTGTCATTCCAGAAGGCGTTTTCAAAAGAAGGCTGCAAAAAAGGGTTTGCAGGTAGCGATCGTCTTTTAGCAGCCCTTTCTGCAACTATTTTGTCACAGAGTTTCTGCAGCGCGGCAGAAATTGCCTTAGCTGATCTGTCGCTTCGGAAGGCATAACAGTAATGTAAGCCAGCTCTTCTGTCTTTGGATACAAATGCGAAATCGTGGCCAGAATCTTTCCCTACTCCCCACAATCGAATCTGAGATACTGGAATCGATAGTAAAACGCAGTTGTCCAAGTAATCGCAAACTTGTAGCGCCTCGTTTTCGAGAACCAGGAGAAAATCCCGGCCTGAAAATTTATCGTCTTGACCTTCGTCGCTATCTTGGCAGATATACCTGATAGCAGAACTTATTGCAACTGAGCTATCTTGTTTCAAGTCCTCGCGGTCCAGAGTACAACTTCCCAGCCCAAAAACCGGAAATACTAGACTTTGCATATCATTTCTTTGGTTCATTTCTATTGACGCCACAAGCTTCGAAAGCTCTTGGCTGGAAGAGTGACTTAGAGAGATGCTTTCCTCGTCGACGTTGAGCATTCCTTCGCTGTGTGACTCTGGTATGTTTAAGGATTCAATAGCTTCTGGAGAGAGGCCAACAGCCGATAGACGGTTGTTCTTCTCCGGTTGTGACATGGAATGGTGGAACTCGGGAATATGTCTGGATATTTCTCCAGATTGCACGTGCCAGTAGTAAACTCCAGTGTCGCCCGTCATTCGTCTCCAACCAGGCGGTAAACCCAAACCTGAAAAGGGATCTTCAACTGGAGTATCGTCATTTGCAGCTTCAACTGAATTGCTCGAAGCTTCTTCGACACTTATTTCTGAGTTGGAAGATTTATCCATTTTTGTTTCTTCAATGCTCAAGGAATCCTCTCGTTTTTTGCAATCATCAGTGTGTTCGAACTCGTTTCTATACGCTTCAGTGGGTATTTCTTTTTCAGGAACGTCAGCCGCTTCGTTTTCCAATTCGTCTGCTTCTAGTTCAGAGCAGGGGGAACTAGTTGCCATTGAGTCCTCTTGTTTACCGCTGCTGTCTTCTTTATCTCTGTTCGAAGCAACTGTTTCGGTTGCCGAACAAGTCGATTGGTTCAGATTCACATTCACTCCACTATCGCATTCCGACACGCATTCAGATGAGGATGTTTTCACACCGACTTCATTTGAGTCTCTATCGGCTATTGCTACTTCACTATTTTCAACATCAGCCGATAACATCGTTTCTAAAGTACATACCAAGTTAAACAATTGTTATTTCATTACTCCTGCAGTAGAATTCTCGAACAAAGCAATAAAATGAAGATGACTGTTAGCAATGTTAATCAATGAAAGCAACTCAGCGTTCACGGTTGAATGCTAAAAATATCTCACTTAATAAAATATGCTTTTTGTGAATGTGAAAAGCGGTCATATTCAATTTGAACACGTTTTAGGCTTCTCTGTCAATAATCTTTTGAATAATCAACCTGTAAAACAAATCGATTTTTCGGTAACAGTTACAGTGCCGATAATTATGTAGGCGGCGACAATCAAGCTATTTTATGAATTTAGCACCAAGCAATAAAAAAGCGCAAAATAGACAACACAAATCAAGTGAAACGAAAAAAAATAAGTATTCCAATTGGATATTGAAGCTTTCCGTGTATAGCTATAAGATGAACATGTAAATAAGTAATGCAATTTCCGCTAGTTACGAGTAAGCTGAGGCATCAGTCCCAGCACCAAATGGTGATTTCCAAGGAAAGCAATCAGACACAAAGTGAGGAAACTGCAATCAGCTGACATTATTTTTCTCATCAACAGACAATCAAGCATTCAAAAACCTAATTTAAAATAATCCCATCCGGCTCAATCACAGTTCTTTGTTCTTTTTGATATATAGTTATGAAAATAGGAAAAATTTGCCCATTCCAATCAAGACTCTTTTCCAGTTTCCCACCGCCGTACAAAGAATATTACAAATATCTAAAACATTCTAATATTGGCCAGCAGAGTTGAAAAAGCGTAAGACAGATAGTTTTTCTTAACTTAGAAACTTTTCAACTTTAGAAATCGAAGTTCAAAATTAGGTTGTATTTAAACTCTTCTATGATTGACACTTTTTGACACAGAGTCGAGGCTGAGCAACGCAAAACGTGCAAGAATGGGCCAGAATTACAGCTTTAAAAATTACAGAGAAAACATCGACATATTTCTTCTTTTTTTTTTCAATTAAAAAATACTAGCGTGTACCGCACCTCCGGCGCTTCGAATTTTTAGCAGCTCAAGAAAAACGTTTCTTTGAGTGTACTCTAACAGAACCCAATTACAGGGTTCCTAATTAAAAATTTTGCAAAGTTTTTTTTTCAAGTTTTTTATACAAACTTTGAAGAACCATAAAGTTTTGTAAAGTTTTATATAAGTTCTTCGAAAAACTTAAATTGAACTAAGAAACGTCACAACTGGGAAACTGAAATCAATTGAACAGTCGCATTTGGACGCAAGATTTGGAACTTCTGAGAGTAACTTCAAATTTTGTAAAGTTTTTCATTCGTTTTTTTTAATTCAAATTTTGAAAAACCATCAAAAATTAGTGACATTTTTTTATATCTAAGTTTATAATGAATTAAGAAACGTCATCGCTCGGAAACTGGAAGCAATTGAGCAGTTGCATTCGGACGCAAGATTTGCAACTCCTGAGAGTACCGAACTACAACGTTGGGAAATTCAAATTTTAAGAAAATTCACCTTAAACCTTAAATTTTATGAAAAAAGTATTTTTTTTGAAAATCAGAAAAATACTCACATCTCGAAAACTGCCAATATTCGAGCAGTCTTTATGGCAATATTCGCAATTTTTGAAAATACACAACTACAGGGTTGGTAATTTCACTTTAACGAATAATTTTGTAAATTAAGCTTTCTGAAAAAAAAAATGTCCAAAAAAATCTCAAAAATCGTCGTATCTCTTAAACAAAAATGATTTGGGCATTTTTAATTGGAGATTTGCAACCACTGAGATTACTCTGACAGCCCCCCCCAACTACAGGTTTAGAAATCAAAACTTTATTATTAATTATTTATTATTAATTATGAAAAATTAATTTGATTTTCATGAAATTTTTTTTTGAAAAAATCACAAAAAACGTCATATCTGAAAAACTGAAAGGTTTTGAGCAGTCCTATTTGGAGGAAAAACTCGCAACTCTTGAGAGTACCCTGACAGAGCCTCACTACAGAGATGATAATTTCAAATTTTGTGAAATTTTTTATACCTAAGTTTTCTGAAAAATTTTGAAAAAATCCTAAAAAAAAGTCATATCTCGAAAACTACAAGAGTTTTAGAGGCCATATTCAGAGGCAATATTCACAAACCCCTGAGAGTACCCTGACGAGCCTCACTACAGAGATGGTAATTTCAAGTTTTGTGAAATTTTTTATATCTATGTTTTCTGAAAAATTTTGAAAAAATCCTAAATAACGTCATATCTCAAAAACTACAAGGATTTGAGCAGCCATAGTCACAGGCAAGAATCGAAACCCCTGAGGATCCAACCAGAGGATTATGATCTTCAACGTTTTGGAATTTTTTTAAAATCTAAGTTTATGAAATTTTTTTAAAAAAAATCATAAAAAACGTCATATCTTGACCAAAATACTTCGACGTGTAATTCATCAAGTTTACTTGGAACTAGTATGATGCTTGAGGAGTATTCACTGTGCTTGTATGTTTCGACTGTGCTTGAGATTTATTTACATTACTTTTGGGTGTGTTTTAGTTGTGCATGACCATTATTTTTTCGACGTATCATTCATCAAATTTGACTGCGATTGGGAATGATGTTTGAGGCTGCTTGTATGTTGAGACTTTATTTCAGATTTTTATGTGAAAATTTTGAATGTGAATGACCTATCTTACTTCGACGTATCATTCATCAAATTTGACTGAAGTGTAACATTCGCCCGGAAGATACATATCGACGGATAACAAAACTAAGTCTTAAGACGACTGGCCAGCGTCTAAACAGAGCTTTGCATGTTTTTCACCGTCTCTACCAAGCCAGTACTTTTTGGTGGTCTTTTCTAACATCGGGTCGACAAAAACGTTACTGTTCTCCGGCTTCGACCAGAACGCTCAAATTAACCGAATTACATGCAAAAATAGTGAGCTCATGGCTGGGTCTCAGTATCCCCAGACCACGAGGTCACTCCTAAAAACAGGGCTACTACTTATTATATTACTATTGTTTTTGTTCAGTAGATAAAAATCATCATCTCCATCGAAGATGGATCAACCCTTTCCCCCCAACTCTTAGCACCTCATCCTTGTCAAAACTAATCCAAATATCAATTAAATTCAAGTCAGGATATGACAGGATGCTAAAAGTTCACTCGAGTCAATAAAAGTTTTCCGTCCCGAGACCCTTCCGGATTCTTGAATCCGCTGAATCAAGCCCGTTGATCTCGATTTCTTCCCAATCCGGAAGGCTGGTTTCTTACCCTTCACCGTTGTTCGCAACGGCCTTGCAACTATTGTAGCAGCACAATAGTTGCAACTCGGAACGTTCTCTGCAATCTGCTGCTGTTTTTCAATCACGATTGTCGTTGTTATCGTCAGCGCAATTAATGTTGTTGTGTTTTCTCTCTCGTTTTTTGTTAAAAATGGCCGTTTCAGCATTTCTCAGAAATGTTACGTCATCACTTCGAAAATTTAAAATTTTAAAATACGGGAATATCCTGACCTTCACCGTTCTGCTAATCATCCGAATAACGTCGTTAATCCTTCAAAATCATTAACTCGGAAGGTTCACTGCTAAAATTTCGAAGTCTGCAGAGATTGCATTTTGGCCATTCTGGTCGAATGTCACATACTCCCCGGACAGTCCGGTCAATGTCCTCATTGAATCGCGCAATATTCGTAAAATGGTTACAGTGTCATCGAACAGAATTTACAAAATGCACGAAATTACTTTTATCCACGTCACATCGACTCACTGCAGAATATAAATGGCATCATACTACATCACTATAGCCTTCAAATTCTTTCATTAATCTGCACATTGAGGATATGACTTAAGATAAAACATTTTTTCTGACTTCCAGTGTCAATGTCCCGATTAGAACTTTTTTTCCTAGATTTAAAAGGTGTTGGCTTGCAGGACAGTCCTGCCAACCAACAAGCTAAAATTATCCTACTATGCTCCTTCCCTTCGGAAATCTTGCTTGTTTATTGTCCTGAATATTAAAACTAAGAAACTTTGTGGTTAGAAAGAACAAGTAAAAACCTCCCTCCTCAAGAGATTACTCAAGCCTTCCACATCACCACAAAGTGATCGGTCTTCCTAAGTGATTAAAAACAATCATGCAGGCTGGAATATTTAAATATACTCTTCCCTCAAGCCTTTCTAAACAAATAATAAGTGAGTGTCTCTAAAGCCACTTCAACTAAAATCAAAATGCAAATTTATAAATGCAACAATTTCAAAACTCAACTAAATGTTTCAGTTTTCAATTACAACTTGGTTGCTTGGTTTCTCACTTGAGTTTTTCACACACATAAAACAATTCTGAGTTTTAAGTTTTCTTTATCACTCCTTTGTTTTCTTCTTTTTTCGTCGTTTAGAAGTTCTAAATCTTCTAAATTCTTCTAATTTTCTTTCTTGTTGCCTCTTGTTTTCTCGACCATTCATCAATGTTCCATTTCTTCCTCCTGTGATACTGACTCCGCACTTTCGGTTTCCGTGTCCTGTAGCACATCGTTGGCTATCCTGACGCTGTTGGAAGCCGTACTCCAACACTTCTGCTCTTCTACCCTCTGTTTACAGCAAGGCAGGGGATCCACGTTGGATTCTCTGTTTCTACAGAAGCTGTTGTGGAGACACAACGTCACGTTTCTCTCCAGATCTTCTTTCAGCATCTCTGCCTTCTCATTTCCACCACGCTCACTCGTTCTGGAAATTCTTTTCACGGCGGTGGTCACTGCATTCCGATGAGTCACGAGAGCTCGCTTGAAAGCTCCTGCCCCAATGTCCAGCTGATATTCACTGTACACCCTGCCGTGCTTCGACATATGCTTTTTCGCATACTCGTACAACCATGCAGTCATGTTGGCTCTGAACCATGGCATCAATCGTTTTCTCGCCCATATCTTCTTCACTTCCATCGGAATGTTTAGAACTTTGCACATTGTCTCAAAAAGATCTAAATCTTTTAGACAATCTAATTTCCGCAATTGTTCTCTCGTCGGTGCCTCCTGTCTATTATTTTCTCTCACATGAGCTTCCAGCCATCGTATCGCCATCATAACTCCCACTATCACTATTGTTACGGGCTGTGATGAATCTGGTAAACCCATGGAGAGCAGCTCTCCAGAGTCCCAGATCAACATCAGATTACTACGCTTGGGATACCACCAGGTCTGCAGCAAGCAGTGGCAAGGAAACTCGTCATG